ATAAAAATGAGGAAAGTCCCGCAGATTGCAAAACCATAGGAAAACAGGAGAATAAAGAGACCACTCAGTCAGGTAAATCCTGTTGGAGCAGGAAAGACAATCTGCCATGAGGTTTAAAGCCCCTGGGACATGACATGCAATTAAACAAATGTGTTGCATGTGGGCCCAATATAGGAGATCCAATGTATGGAAACAGAGGGATCTCGACTATGTGCCACCTTGGTGATTGATATAAACCACCATCATTGAATTGTTGGAAAGGATCATTACCAGACAATGTCTAGCAATGGGAAAAAAGTAATCCAAAGCAAGATGAACGGCTAGGAGCTATAGGAAGTTGATGTGTAAAGACCATTCATTGACAGACCAGCGACCCAAAGCCTCCTGGTGATCGACCCACACACCACAGCCCTGAGGGATGTGTCCATAAACAATGTAAATCTGGATGAGGAGGAGAAAGCAGTACACCCATTGATGTGCAAGTCTTGTCCAACCACCAAAGGAGATCTTCAAAAAGGGAAGGAGGAAGTGTTATGGGAGCATCCAAGGGATCCCAAGCAAAGTTCCACTGATCGTGCAGAGCCCACTGAAGGGAGTGTATGTGTGCACAAAAGCAACAGAATTTCATATGCAGAAAGTGAGGGAGCAGATAGGGCATGGCAAACTGACAATTTCATAGAATGGAGTCGGAAAAGAGAAGGTTGGGCCCAACTGAGGTGAGTGTTGAAAAAGACACCCAAATGCACAAGGTATTGGGTAGGATGCAGGAAAGACTTCTCCAATTTGACCAACCAGCTGACCTGAGCAGCTTCTAGATGGAGATAACAAGTATGACTGACAACTCCTGTTTAGAATGGGCCAGAAGTTGCCAGTCATCCATGTAAAAATGGAAATCCAGCCCCAGGGCATGAAGATGAAGAGCAGACTGATCTGAAGCCCATGGGGGGATAAGGCATACTAATGCCATCGCCCAACTGAAAGGCAAATCGTTCAGCATGAACCCAAATGTCAGGGGACGGAGAAAAACCAAATACAGTTGGGAAGTATATTCATGCAGTAATGAAGGATGCAGGCCATAAGATATGGATGCAAGGGATAAAACATCATATACCCAAGAAATAAAGTCCGAAAAACCATGGAAGGCTCAGTAAGGGTATGGGAAGGCAAAGCAAATTCAGGATGTGGAAACAGGGGATCAAAGTCCTCGTCAGCCTGCCCAGGTTTCACAGGTTCAGGAGGAAGTAGGGAAATGTCTAAAGATAGAGGATGACCCATATAACATTCCATCTCTCTGCAAATAAATGTAGACAAATTTCCTGACAGGTCACCAGCACCTGAATCCTGTGATAAAGCACCTGTCAAATGTGAGACACCTGAAGTGGTGACATTAACTTCCAAATTCATGCTGTATCAGTCAACAAAAGCACTGGAAGTAAGAAATAAATGTGCCTAGAACAAGGGTAATTTAACCTGAAAGCTTTAAAAAAAAACTGAGTGTGTAAAAATTTAACCACTTCGAGAACTAATTCAACCTCAAACATTAATCAAACCGAGAGAAGAAAGACATTCAAATGCAAGTGCTGCCAAACAAGAAGTGA